ATTAAGGACCTAACCACAAGACAACTGTGATGCCTCAGGTCAAAAGACTAATTTGCATTATCCCAACCATGAGTTCTCATGTGACATGAATATGAGAACTCTTCGTTGATCGTGTTCAGTGAACTCATTCTCTATTGAGCACCTACGTACTTGTCTTGATGTCACACACACCAATGACTCGAGACTAGTCACTCTCCCTGAGAGAAGACATAGCACGTACTGATCTTAACGGACTGTCAATGCCCAATTGACAATCCTATGATCAGGAACGTTTAGGATGTGTCAACGAAAGAATGGTCTCATGAATCTAACTTCTTTACATCACATTCTTCCAATCACATATTCCTTGGACTTATCGTTTAAGCATATAACATTTATATGAGACGGCTCAAACAATAATGTTTGCCCTTAATATTAAACTAGATTAGTTTAACATGTGAAATGTCCATAAAGGATCATCATATGATTGGTTTTAGGGCACATTTCCAACAGTCGTGGGATGTGAAGTGGGTGATGTTGATTGTCGGTGGCAAGTGGCAAGTGGGATGAGCTTGCCTTGGGATTTGAAGTGGGTGTAGTTGACTGTGAGAGGAATTGAAAGGTGAGAGAGAGATTGACAAAAGAAAAGGGATTCCAGAAGTTTGAGAAATGTGGTTGGTTTGTGAGTCGGTTCTCTTCTTGCAATGGTGGAAGATAGTTTTTTATGGAATGACATAACAATATTTGTTTTTTTTTTTTTTTTTTTTTTTTTTTAAAGGTAAAAGTAAATTAAAAATGACAAAAATTTAATTTGGGTCTTGAAAATATTTTAGTCTATAGTTTAGTCTGACGCTATACTAAACACTTCATTATTCTTATACTGTTTAGTCCAAGCTAAGCCAGTCCAGTTTAGTCCCTGGAGCTAGTCCAGTCCGAGATAGTCCGATGCAACAAACGCACATTTATAGTCCTAGTAGCCAACAAACAGAGGATTACACTAAAAACTAGTCCAATTCAGTCAAGTCCAGGTTAGTAAAGCCAAATAAATGTGCTCTTATTCTTATCTAAAATTTTAATTGCCTTTAGTGCCGTTTGTTAAAAATAAATAATAATAAAAATAAATAAAAATAATAATAAAACTTTTAATGGGTCAGTTGGAAAATAATTAAAATTTACAAAAATAATGTGGAATAAAATTTCGGAAGAAATAAAAAAGAATATAGCTAATTAAATTCTATATTAACTTATGTGTCATGTCTTAAGCAGTTAGATCATTTGAATTGCATAAATATAACGAAATGCGAATAAATGCATAATTAAAAAATGTTTGTTTGGAAATACTTTTAAAATGACAAAAAATACTGTTAGAGAAAATGATTTTGGGTTTCAAAAACACTTGAAGTGGTTCATTTAAAAAACACATAATTGGTGTTTCTTGCATGAAGCACTTACGGTTTTTTTTTAGCACTCAATTGCATTCTTTCTAAGGATTTCTAAAAACATTTTCATGAAAAGTCTTTTTTCATATTAAAAAATACTTCCAAACGAGCGCTAAATGTGGAGGCTCGGAATTGGAGGTTTAAAATTTTTTAATATCCACATGGACCCACATTAAGATGTGACATTAATTAATTGTTCACATATAGGTATCGTTTGGTATGCAGACGGGATGAGACGGAATGGAATGGGACGGGACGGGACGGGACAGGACGGAACGGAACGGAGCGGGAGCAAAGATGCCCTCGGATGGAAACAAGGAGGAAGAAGAAGGAGACGGAGAGGTTATAATTTTGTGTTCCACGGATGTGGAACGAGTGGTTCCAGGGGGGTGAGGTGGAACGAAAATTCACCCAAAACTCGTCTCGTGGAACAGCTCGTTCCATCCGTTTTAGGCGCACCAAACATGGGACAGAACGCCTTGTCCCACTCTGTTCCGTCCCGTCCCACGTACCAAACGGTACCATAGGTGTCAAGTCATCAGTTACAGAAGGTTTTGACGAAAAACTTAACATATGTATGAAAATGTCCAAAAATTATGACTTAAAGTATTGGAATGGGACAAAAAAATTTTATGTATGAAATATTGAAAACTAAAAAAATTTAGGGTAATAAACTAAAATTAACCTAAATTTAAAATTTTGAAGTTATTTTTATTAATATGCTTAACCAAAATGCAAGCGAAGATTTGGTGTCAAGAGACTCATCAGAGTCTCTAGTTTTAGTCCAGTCTGTCCAGACAGCTCGGGATTGAAGTCAACGAAACTCCGACCTCATTTCTGCCAACCCCAAAATCCAATTCTTCTTCATTTCTCGTTTTTGCTTCATTTGGTAATATATGTCTGTCTCTACTAACTAACTGAGCCACAATTCACAATCCGTGATCACAGCTTGCTTATCCATTTTCTAAATTTTATGGGTAAAGGAGGTGGCTGCGTGCCAAGCAAGAACAAGCCACCCAAAGGCGTTTCCGATCAAGATCTTCCGAACCCAGAAAGCGATGGCCCTGTTTCAGACCAGAACCTATCCCAAATCACACCAGAACAAAACCCAATAGATATTGGGGTCCCACCACAAGAACAGCAAGCACAAAGGAAGCTGAAGGTTTTCATAGTGGTTTACTCGATGTACGGGCACGTGGAGATTTTGGCCAGGAGGATTAAAAAAGGGGTTGATTCCATTGATGGGGTTGAAGGGTTTCTGTTCCGGGTTCCGGAGACGCTGTCTCCGGAAGTTTTGGAGCAGATGAAGGTGCCCAAGAAGAAAGATGGTAACGCAGATGAGGTGCCTGTGATATTACCTGAGAGGTTGGCGGAGGCTGATGCGCTGTTATTCGGGTTTCCGACCCGGTATGGGTCCATGGCTGCGCAGATGAAGGCGTTTTTCGACTCTACGGGACAGTTGTGGAGGGAGCAGAGGCTTGCTGGTGTGCCTGCTGGCTTCTTTGTCAGTACTGGCACTCAGGGTGGTGGACAAGAAACCACGGCGTAAGTAAGACACCCTTTGGTTTCAAGAATTGTGCTTTACATTCTTCATATTAGTTTTGGTGAATTTTGTTGGTATGTTGATTTGAGTAAGACACCCTTTGGTTTCAAGAAAAAAATATATTAGTTTCTTGTTGCTATGTGTAAATTGCGGGAACAGAATTGGCATTTAATCATATGGCTTGTAGTAGAAATAGTGATCGGTGGCTTTGCAAGTTTAGAGAATGTAGTTCCGACTCCATTTCAGAGACCAGAGAAGAGAAATTTGATATCTTTGGGAGTGCAGAAACCTTTGTGGGAAACCCATACTGGCTCTAGAATTTTCAGATTTCATGAAAAATGTCACATGAAGATGATGAAGTGTGCATTTTAGTGTGGGGTAGTTGGTCTTTTGAGTTGCTTATTTAAACCTTAATATAGTGAGAATGGGGTTGGGTGTTAACTCTCTCATACAGTTTATCAATAGGGGGAAAACCGGGAATGAAGGAATTTTCAACTTTCATCCCGTTTCCGAAACATCTCTGTGGGGGTGTGAAACCTGTTGAAGATAGTCCAGAATTGTCCAAGAATTACATCCAGAACGAGGAACACTATGCAAATTTCGTCACTGTTGGACTTAATCAGCCCCCATATGTGACACTTTAATGAACTTCTTGATCAGACACTTTAATATATTCTATCTTATTTAACAATATTGAGATTGATGCATATGATCATAAAACCAGCTTGATACATTGGCTTGTCAAAGTTGATAACCTAAGGAATTTTACTACAGAAATAATGCATTCCAAATTCCTAACTTGGGTCTAAAAGATTTCTTCTTCCCGATTTAATTTGCAAATATACAACTAATAAATATTTAGTGAATTAAATTAAGATGTGTGCTTGGTTTGTGTCCATCTCTCTGTCAATTAAATTAACATCTTTACATGATCAATCTCATTTACCTGTAAACATGTTAATATATATGAATTTTCTGCAGTTGGACGGCAATAACTCAGTTAGCTCACCATGGAATGGTCTATGTTCCTATCGGTTACACATTCGGTGCTGGAATGTTCGAAATGGACTCCCTTAGAGGAGGATCTCCATATGGTGCCGGTGTCTTTTCTGGTGATGGCACCAGGAAACCAAGTGAAACGGAGCTGGCTCTTGCAGAGCATCATGGAAAATACATGGCTGGAATAGTGCAGAGATTTGCACAGCCTTCTCTTCATCGGCCAGGTCATGGACTGGACTAGTTCTGATTAACCGACATTCTTGTGCATTTGCATACTTTGTTTGTGATGGGATCTTCTGATACGGGTGTTAATAGAAATTCGATTTTTGGTAAATGGTGTTGATAGTGTTTAGATAGCTGAGAGATTTGTGCTTTCAGAAATTGTATAATTAGTAGTTCTCATGGTTGATGGTTTCGACCATTGCTCGTTCATACGTTTTAGTTGTATATGTTCATTGAAACATTATGATCGTCAATAAAATTGTGGTTCGTGTTCTTGTTTACAAAGTTTTTCCAGATTTCTTACCATACACGAATACATTATATATGTTTCGATAATTTGTTTTAAACGATCAGTTGGAATGTAGTATACTACTAAATTTTCTGATGAATTTTAGACAGACATATTCATGAATTCTTTTCTGGTCTTTTAGCCAAAATGGTATTTTGAGATTTTCATAACACATAACTTTAGTCCTGAGATTGAAAATCAATAGAAGTGGTCTATGAGATTGTCCATCATCCATTATTTTGGTCATTCCATTAAAAAACTCCGTTAAGTGGTCCAGCTTTTTATACCCTCAACTTAATGGAGTTTTTTAACAGAATGACTAAAATAACAGATAATGGACAATCTCAGGAACCACTTCTATTGATTTTAAATCTCAGAGACCAAAGTTATGTGTTATGCAAATCTCAAGGACCATTTTGACTAAAAAGTCTTCCTTTCTTTTTTTTTTTTTTTTTTTTTTTTGTTTAAAACAAATGTTACTGTTTCAGAAGAACATGAAGCTTAATATACTTTTGGTAAAAATGGAGGCTCTCCTACAATTATATGACTGCATATCAATAACTCTAACATCTGAGATTTTACAATACAATCGTACAAATACAACACGGAAACTTCACAAACACCAGTTAGCATAGACGAGCACTAACCCAGTGATTTTACACTCCAATCTCAAAACAACAACATATTCGCCCTCCTAGGACTCGCCAGGGATGAAGGTGACATCCCCCCACTGGCTCAGCATTTGCAGACCGATGGTTGGTCGGCAGTGTAGAAACCGATGATGGATTTCAGTTTTTATCAACCTTCCTTCAATGAGCCATTTCTAGACCTTTTAAATTCCCATGGTGGTAGGCAGCCTTTATAGTGAGAATGTAGGAACAATGACGACATTGATACTTCCCTCTGTGGCAGCGACATTGACGACAAGCAAGTGAAGGCACTTCTTAGTCTCTTTTTTTCACTTTCGCATCCTTTGAAATTGGGGTCATGAGGAATAGTGGTCGTCTTTAGGGCGTCTGGGAGTATACAGTTGCACAGAGAACCTAAAAGGAAGCAGATTCTATGATTTCAGAACGAATTGACCATAATACTTAAGAAAATGAAGAAAAAAGTATTATTCCAAAACTAAAATACTCTTAAAGCTTGCAACTGAACATTTCTAGAAAGGGAGGCACGTTTTGCGTCACTTAATGTGTTAGTTGACAGGAAATCATATAGATATTTTCTTCACTATAGTAAGGTGAGCCTCATGGCATAGTTGAGAAATCATGAAAGGCTAGTGCTCTAAAGAGTTGCAAGCGTGGAAGGTAAATCTACATGAAATTAATGTGTGTGGTCCTCATCAATAGCTTGCGAAGAAACAGGGGTTCAGAAAGACATGTGTCATATACCTATTCTTGCGAGTCGATTGACCCAGTTGGGTATTCGCTTCCCAGTCAGCTTATAACATATATCTTCACAGAAATGGTTGCAGTTCTTGACAATCAGGTGGTACGAGTCACCAATGTAGATGGCAGATTGACGCTCCATGAACTCTCTAACCTGGAAAGGATCCAAGCATGTCATGCCAATGAAAATTGACCTTCTAAACTTGAAGCCAGGGCATTGTCGAGGTTCAACCTCAAAGACACCGCTTGATGAGTACTCATGGGCTCCAAAGGCATATTCCACCCCATGAACTGTAGGCATGAAAACATGATCAATAAACATTTGCACCATCTTGAGAAACCTAATACTCAGGATGCAACATAAATTATTTCAATGGAGATAATGTTTGGAAATTTTATATCCAAGACTCCAAGTAAATGTAATTTCCTTCAAATATGTCCGACCAGGGAGAATAGCTATTCAGCCCAGTGGAAGGAACAGGAGGAGGTAAGGTAAATACTTTCTAAGAGGAATGATGCTGCGAGACCAAACTAATTTAGAGAGTTTTACTCTTACACAAAACGTTGGTCGTTGAAGTGGCTATAATGGTGAACATGCATATTGCACAATAAAGTTTAGGCAAAGTCTTATCCAGCTGAATCTGCGTGGGTTGAGTTTGTCATTAAGGTTTAACCGGCTTAAGACGAGCAATATCAAGGTTAAAGTTAGACAACAGTTTAAATTGATTAATCAGCAATTTATCTTACAATCAAGAATCAAACATAACCACTAAATTTCAGGGGACTATGGTGGGACTACTCTTTTCAAAGAAACCACCAACATAGATTGATTAAGGTATGCTAACCTTCCACCCCGGAGTGAAAGATGCCAAGGCCTGCCCAATAGACATAGCCATTTGCCGGTGTCAAATCATATACATTAAGATAGACAGGTGCGCTCCCTTGAATGTAGTCTTCTGCCTTCACTTTTGGAAACATGCAAAAACGTGAGGCTGCTTTGCCTCTCAAACAAAGAGGCATAATAGAGTGCCAGCCATCCTTTGGTCCTGATTTCATGCTGAAGGGTGAAACCAGGAATCAATAAATGCGTTGTCCAGACCTGCAAAAATGAACAGAAATTAATTTACGACAAGATACGAATTTTGGCTTCAAAAATAATATCTGATGACATATCTAATTATCGTTTCTCTTTGTATCCATAATACCCTAAAAGATCAAACTGGCACTCATACTTATCTAGTTGTGTTATAATGTCTACAAATTCTGTATGCTTTGACAAAGTTTATGAAACTTGAGACAAGAAACTTCGACTACCTAACCCAGCTCAGCTTTAAGATAGCTTGTTTGCACAAAAACTGTGGTGATACTGGTTTCATTTATGTCAACTTTCATTAATGCAAAAATGCAAATGGATATATCTTGCCGTAGTTCAATCTTATCAATTATAAAATTGCTGCTATTATATAACCAAGTAGTGAAATTCAGGACACCATGACAAACAAACCTAATAAGTCCCTATATATCAGCTTTAGGTATTTCAGCAGTTTTAAGTAGAAGGTTACAGGCAGTGAGAAACGTTAAGTGTATACATCCCAAGTTGCACAGGTATCAAGAACTTTCATGTGGCTGGATGGAGATCCCCGTTGAAACCTGAAGGGAGTACTGGTGGATCTGAAGTGCGATCAGATCGCAAAAGCAAGTTTTCCCATCCAGAAAACGTCTTGTCTGTAAAAACCTTACAGACTAGCAACTGTGAAGCTTCTCAAGATTATTTCTGGGGAAGTTTCATCAGGATTATGACTATCAAGAGTATAAATTTGTTCATCTTTTGTTTATTGCCCTAAGAGTATCTGAAGTGAATAATGTGGTCCCTCACTAACCCAGTTCGATTACCACTCATCCACCGGTCATCATATCGGCCTCAATATATCAACCCATTTTGATTTCCATTAATCCTCATCGTTGAATTCCCATAAACACATCGACTTGAACCATGTTAGTGTTCATTAAGCCATCAATTTATCATACACCCTGCCTACAGTGCTTCACAGATGTCGGGTTTAATCTTTTACACTATGGAGTTTGGCCCTTGAAGGTGGAATGTAAAAATCCTAAATGCTGCAATTCTCTGTCAACCCAACAAAAAAGCCAAATTTCTAAGCTTTCCATATAAATAAAGGACAAAGAAATTTGTTGAAACTTGAAAGATTCACTCAATTCTCACTGTCAGTCCACATCCTTGATTCTTTTGTTTTAATTCTCTCCCAGAGACATTGGTTATGCACTTAATATCAAATAAACATTTAAATTTCCAGATGTAAGAAAGAACCCATGAACAAAATCGTGCCAAACGTAAACCGTTTTACAAATTTTTAGTTCCTTCTTTTTTCTTCAAAAGTTTGAAAATTTTAGTAAGAATTCTGAAGATAAATCTACTGAAATTCTAAGCAGAGAAATCTCCAAACAAAGCAGATCAGATTCACGAGGAAACCCGGGAACTAAACATTTACAGATGGAAAATCAAGAATGTACCTAATAAACTTCATAAAAGGTACGACGACAAATAAAAACGCAAGTCGAAATGCCAAAAACAAATCAAGAAACGCAAAAACTTGAGAAAATAATCGAAACCCAGTAGAGAAAAACGAAAACCCAGAGAAACCCACTAACCTCTCGGAAGAGTGACACTCGTCACCGAGTGGAGAAGCCAATGCATCCGTCACCGAGACGCCAAGCAACCATTTTTGTTTTTTTCAAAATTCAAAGCAGAGAAGAGAAGAGAGGGGAGTGCGTGGATGAAACCCACACATTATTTTTCTTCTTCTTTCTCTCCTGTTCCTGACAGAAATCAGGAAATGAAAGCTGGCGGACTACAGAAAGGCTGATAAAATAGAATCCTGCTGCAGTGGCAATATTTTTTTTTTTTTTTTAACAAACAATAATATTATACTAAAAAGAAAGGAAGTGAACTTGATTTCACAAGTAGGCCAGATTTAGGGCTGGTTTGGTATTGCTATATTTTGAAAAAAAAACTGATTCTGCTGTGATGTGAGAACAAGCGGCTGTGAAATAAAACAGCAGAGTGTTTGGTAAACTTTTTTGTAAAAGTGCTTTTGAAAAAAAAAAAACAGTATTATAGTGTATGGTAAACTTTTATGTAAAACAGATGTGAAAAAAAGCTGAAGCTGAATGTTTACCAAACACAAAAACAGCTCCCAGCTTTTTTTTATACCAGCTTTTTTCAGAATCACCTCAGTACCAAACCAGGTCTTAGTTTTAGCAAAAATCGAACTTAAAATATCTCATTTAAGTGAACGAAGATGAATACCACTAGACCGTAAAATTAAATGTCACTGCAGTGGCACTTAGTTAGCACTAAGTAGTATAAATTTTACTACTTAGTACTATAGTCTAGTTATATTCATCTCCATTGTTAAGTGGAAGGTTTTAAGTTGGATTCTCTCCAATACAAATTTTAACCACATTATTGCATTGTGAGGTTTAATCCATTCTCATATTCTCTTAATACGGATAATATCGTTTAGTGAAAAAAAAAAAAACGAATTTTAAACAAAATTTAAAGGTTGCAAAGATTCTTTAAACCATTGTAATATCTAACAGATTAACTGTTAATTTTTCGGCATGCTCACTAGTTTCTCTAAAAATTGAATAAAATAACAAGAAAATGTTAAATGGTGGATAAAGGTGAAATTTGTGAAAGAAACTTGTCTTTCACTTTGGGACACTTTTGACTGACCGAGTAATATGTGCTTCAATTTTAGCAAACCCTTGGGTCCTCCTCTCTGAGTAATGGTCCATCATGTGCAGTTTTCTCTCTTTTGACGTCGTGGTTTGAAATAATCAAAATTTCAAATATTGAAGTTCTTGACCGGAATAAAAAAAAATAAAAAAAAGTTTCACTTTAGTTTTTCTTGTTTTATATCTTGTTTGGAATAATAAAAACACGTTGATATTATTAAAACATAATTTTTTTTTTAAATTGTCATTTAGTACAGTGATTTAGTGGTATTTTTTTTACTTGTAAATGAGAGGTCTTAGGTTCAATTCTTGCTAAAGACGAATTTCAACCATATTATTACTAACTCATTGTGAGGTAAGCTCATCTCCTCCTTATTAGTATAGATAATATCGTTTCTTCAAACAAAAAAAAAAAAAATTTAATAACTAATCTTATGAGTTAAAAAACATTTTCAATTTAATACAACAATATTTACATTAAGATATAGGAGATTTAAGTAATATGTCAATCATAATAATTTGGAACTCAGGAGTCTAATCTAAAACTACTCAGTAAGAAACAGTATCTTACATGCCTTTAGTTGTCACAATTTAAATGTGTGTATATTTCCACTTAATTTATTGTTGCATAAAATTAAAGGAGATAATTTCTTTTTATTTTTTTTAATTAAGACAACAATATCACTTCCATTCCAATATTGCGGTAATGAAAAAGGACATTATTTGTAAATATATTGAAGAAAAATAAATAAATGTACAATAAGTTAGAGGGGACATGAAGGGATATCCTAAGTAGAAATAGAAAAATATTAGAAACAAAAATTAATTAAGACAACTCTTAAGAGAAACAAAAATTTGAAAGCCTTTAATGATTATGAGCAAAAGCCGCAACTGCACACAACGGACAAGAATCCTACCAATAAACACCAAAGAAGATAATTTATTGTCCTTCAATAGAAATAGATAACAGAATCACAAAAATTGGAAATGCAGTGAGAAAAGTGAAACTTCACCTAAACTAAGAAAACCTTTCCTTTTTTTTTTTTTTTTTGCAAGATAATATTCTAAATTACTCTATAATTTACAGTATGAAACTTTGAACATGAGCGCAAAGAGACAAACATATTATCCTAACTAACCGACATAACTTACATCTACGTCCAAATTACATAATCAAATAAAAATCATAGTTAAGCTTTTTCTTAACATTGACCAAAAAGAGTAGTGTCTTATTCTAATGAGCTGTATTTGATTAAGAGTAGGCCCATCCCATGCGAGCTGGCTACAATTGTGAGTCCCACAATAGTTCTAGCAACCAGAATTAGTCTTGACAGCTAGATTTGTAAAGAAAAATTAGGTATTTTGTTATTCTAAATCTGTTGCTTCATTTGTGAATGATCATGCTAAATTGTGGACACATGTTTCTTGGCAAATACACAGAAACAAGAGAGGATTATTGGAAGCTAATTAATAGTTAGTACATATATATGGCCACTGAATTGGCAACTGATTGACATTAATTGGTATTACTCTTCTTTTTCTTTAACATCACGGTTCCTTTATCTTGGTAGAAATATTTCAAGACTGATGTATCTTTTTTTTCTTTTCTTTTTTTCCCTAAAAAGGGGACCAGGCTACCAACTAGTGGCCGCGTTACGGCAGTCTACCTTTTTGAGAGTCGGAAAGATTCACAGAGACATTTCAGCCTCTCTTTGGGCATTATCATGCGATTCACTAACGTCATAAATCGAACTCATGACATGTCTTGTGAAATAGGAGCTTGAAATTCATTTCCAACTATTGCGGCATCCCATGGTGGTAGTATCTTATTTTGGGCTAATGTGTTTGATTTTTATGCTTATGGGTGTGCCTACGTTTGACTACTTATTTAGGGTTTTTTATAAGATGCTCTGGACTTTCTAACCATTAAATCTTGATGTTTAAACAAAAATCTAATGGTTAAACAGCCCTCTTTTTAGGTTCTAACGGAAGGAAAACTGAAAGTGGCGGAAACAACCATGCCATGGACTTACATTTATGAGTGTATATAGTATTGCTACCTTGCACTACAAATAATATATACTTATTCTATTTGTATTCATGTACGTTTATGTAGGGTTTTTTCTTCAGTGAGTTGATGTAAGGAGTATTGATAGGATTTTTATCACTTACAAAAGTAGGGATAAACATACTTAAAATACTTGTAAGAGTATAAGGTAATTGTAGTATAGTAGCTTCACTCTAGCAAGTCTGTTCTCCACATGGATTGAATGAATAATTTATAACCAAATCTTAATTAATTATTTGAAAACAAAGTTTGGAAAAAGGTGATTTTATGACCTAAAATAGTAAAAACGAATTTAATTAAAAACAAATAAATAAATTGGTAAAGTAAAGGAAAAAAAATAGTTTTGAAAATCAATTTAAGCACTTGGGTTTTGTTGTCACCTTAACAATCTTACGTAGTTCTTCCAATTACTTATGAATTACCCATGCATATTTTGAAGGTTAGGTTTTCCTAAAGTATATCATACTTGGAACCTTCAATATAGAACGTATATCTAACATGCAACTCATTTGTGATGTCCAAATCAAATGTGAACATGAAAGACTCATTAAGTTTTGTAAAACCCTTTGAAAAACCATATTACCCTTACGACGTGTCGTCTATCCCAAGAAGTTACACATATTAACCATAAGAAGCCTTAGTCAATATTAGGGACATCCCACCGCTAAAATTGCATGAAATTACTTTTCTAAATACCCTAATGGTAATCAATCACTAAGACAAATAGATAGTTTCAACACAGTGATTAATAATTCAAAATTTGCATTCATAATATCATAAGCAAATTGAAAAAAAACTACATATTATTGCTAAGGTTCGTGGTCTCGCTCTAGGAAACGAGATTAGTTACGAACAATCATAAAACAAAATATTACTAAGAGCATGGATAGAAAACACCTTGAAAATAAACTTCAATCGTCAAAAACTCTCTAAACTGAGTTCTCCAAAGTAGTGCATTCTCTCTAAAGTGCATTTTTTTTCTTAAACCTAATGGCTAAATAACCTTATTTATACTACTACAAAATAAAACCTACCTAGAAAAGGTATTCTAAAAACTATGAAACATAATAGAATAAGATAACTAGGAAATAAAAGGTTTCCTATTTAAACTGAAATTCGGACTTCTAAAAAAATCAGACTTTTAACCGATCAAATCAACTCCGATTTGGTCCCAAAAGATCTCTTTTTAAAGCTTGAGATGTCCCAAACAAATCCTCATAATGAATCTTCCCTCAAACTATGCCATCTTGACTTTCAAAATACCTAAAACGTCCAAAAATGTCAATTTAGGAAAGCTGCGCACTAGACCTTTATTTTATCGCCACGGTAAAAAACATGGTAGAAAAATCTAGAATTTTGACACAATCATTTTGAAAGACTCGTGAACATCCTCCAACTGGAATCACCAAAATTCATCTATTTGATCATTTTTTGTTCCAGAGGAAGTCGAACATGCTACATTAAAAATACATAACAAAGTATCAAAGTTCACACAAAATAACAATTAAATTAATACTAAAAATAGGGTAAAATATATAGTTTTAATATCAACTCATCAAGTATATATACTTGTCTCTACTCATCCAAATCATTAGATTAATTATGTATAATGTTTCCATGTTGATCGCTATATTGATGACTAAGCATGCATAACACAATTTAATATTCTAAATAGATTGTCACTTAATACTATGATCTAGTGGTATTCCTCTTTACTAGTAAGTGAGAGGTTTTAGGTTCGATTCTCGTCAAAGGCAATGGAGAAGCTGGGAATTTTTCGCCAGGTGGGCTAGCTTAAAGATTTAAATCATTATAAACAAAGAAACTTGATACTTTATTTTTCATAGTATCAGCTAGCTTAAGAAATTTTTTACAAGGTGAGCAAAAAATTTTCGTTATTAAACAAATACGTGTTAAAATTCAAACAAATCAAATATATGTAGGAAAAAAAAGAGATGGTTTGTAAACTACATCATTATGACTAGCCTAGCAAGTATGAAACTTAACCCACTCCCACACCTACTTAGTGTAGATAATATCAACCTTGCATGTATGAATTACCAAATTATGGATACATTTTGACACAAGCAAATATCGGAAAAAGGGAAGAACTGAACTTGTAACTTGTTTGCAAAGATAAATGTTCTCAATTAATTAAGTTAGAATCACTTTGACTGAGACTAAAATCAATTTATTTTTTTTTGTAATATATTTCTTTAACTGAGACGAAATCAAACAAAAGTGTAAATTACATACATAGGTATTAAAGGTGTAAATTTATGACACAACAATATAAACGACTCAGAATTTAGATCTTAAATTAGAATTAGACAACATACACCGATCTTTTCTTTCTTTTTCTTTTTTTTTTTTTTTTTTTTTTTTTTTTTTTTTGTTGAAGAGTAAATATTATTAAAGATAAATTGGAATATTTACATCAGAAGCCAGAATATTAAACAACTGTTTCGGCTCAATGCGATTCCACAAATGATTCCTCTTATACGCATAACAAAAGAAGCCACATGATGCGCAACCTCATTATAGGCACGAGGAGTAAATAAAAACTCAACAGAACTCAATGGTTGTCGAATATGGTGAATATCCCATAGGATACCCTCCATTGCTGCCTCCGGAGCCAAGACTCCATTTAGCATCTCCACCAAGACCTTCGAATCCGTCTCCAACTAAACAAACTCGAATCCCTTTTCCGCACAAGCCATCAGTGCCAATCTCATTGCTTTCGCTTCCGCCATCAAACTAGAGCCACATAATTAATAAATCTCCCATACCTCCAGCACATTGAAAGATCCCAGCAAAATCCCTAGCAACCGATCCAATGCCACCCCTACTCGTTTGCTTGCACCAAGCCCCATCGCAGTTCACCTTAATAGTGCAAAAAGGAGGCTTCACCCACCTCCTATGCGTCTCTCCCTCGACCACCTGCTGTCTGCAATGGTGCTGCTCATTGTCCCACCTACTGTCCTTTATCTCCCTCCATTGCTGATGCAAAAGGTCCAACGCAACACGCGGTTCACAAACCACTTTCTCAAAAACTGCACTATTCCGGCATTTCCATATCCTCCATAGTCCACATACTATCCACCGCAAAAGCTGGTCCGACTCCTTCTCCCCACCATATTTATTACACAATCCTTTCCAACACTGCAAAAAGTCACCACCCTCCACCGTCCCCACGTCCAGTTGCAGCCGGGAGCTGAACCAAAACACACGTGCGAACGGACACCTGAAAAATAAATGCACTTGTGTTTCGTCCTCGTCCTCACATAAAGGACAGTAAGTCTCTAATCGAATCCCCCGTCTCCTTAAAATATTCTGAACTACTAGGACATTTACACCCCTTCCAGATAAAATGGCGTAACTTAGGGGGAACCCCCAAATTGTATCCTTAGTGGCATCGCAGCTTGATTGACCCCTACGCCCGAGCTCCCCATTCATGTTCATTTCTTGGGCAACCAAATATCCAGACTTCACCGAATATATCCCATCCTGAGTATAATGCCAATTGAGACGGTCAGAACATCCAAAATGACTAAGCGGCATACATAAAATAATACGGGCTTCCTCTGGATTGAAACACCGTTCCACCACCTCCTTAGGATGCGATGTCCTTCTAACCGTAAACTGCCTCTATAAGATATGATAGCTTTGATTTTACTACCACTTTGAGTTTCAATACTTTCCGTTTAAGGAACCTATCTAAGACTTGATCATTAAACTTCATGACGTATACGCACATACTTTATAGAGATATCATCAACAAATGTGACACAATGTACTATGCTTATTTCCCAAAGATATTAATTAGAGATGGTTTAACGACAACATTGAGAAGACAACAATATTTCTAAATATTCTATTTATCATCATAGATTACTATTCTTCAAGTAACCTCTTCATTAAAGAGAGAGGATCTTCGCCGGGATCCTCTTTGTAAGGATCCCGGAAATCATTTAATCACATCCGCTCATCGTACATCGTGCGGCTAATTTTTGTCAGGTACTGTTTTTATTCAATTTTAAACAAAAAAATTTACAATGATTTTTTATGCACGATGTACGATGAACGGATGTGATTGAAAATCCCCAGGATCCTCACTCTTCATTAAAAACCTTTTCGTTTTAACTTTTTGTGACATCCCGTCCCGAAAGTATCGGAAATGTGCTTAGGAAAGGACCCTTTTACCCCTAGTTGGTTTTCGTATTATTGTTTTTGGTTACTTTGTGTGGTGTTGGCAAGCTGAGAGCCACACACACACACTGTCTCTCTCTCTCTCTCTCTCTGTGGGTTCCCCGAGCTCCATTCCTTCCTCTTCTCTCTGTAACGTACGGACAACACACAAAAGCACCCAAATCTTAGTAGATCGTGGGAACCAAAGACACCATTCAACTCGTGAGGTCGAGGCGAGCACAACCATACCATTTTCAGGTGAGGAATACTGCGTTTTCACGTCGTTTCAACAATGGCCGAATTGAGTACTGTTCATGCAAAATTTATACATTGAGTTTTTGGACTTTTGAAGCTTGTAGATGTGTTGGTGAGGTTCCCAGGAGCGTCGGAGTAGCTCGTTGGACGAATTTGGACGTCGGGAAGGCCTGGTTCGAAGTTGGCCGGTTTTTGAGTTTTGAGACAGGTATGATCGCGTAACTTTTAGCCTTTAAAAGTGGTCCAACGTGATTCTACTAGTTTAGGGCTTTCTTTTGGTCCAAGAATCATAGGAATTGGTTGAGAAACGAGGGAGATTAGTGAGTTTAAACTTTTCCCAGTTTTCCGGCGACCGGAGTCCGGCGAGAGTCGATCGGAGAAGAAAGAGGAATATTCCGTTAGGTTTAACGGAATATTCCTAACGGCAGTGACGGCATCCGGTTAGATTTAACGGAATATTCCGTCAGTTTGACGGAATATTCCTGACGGCGTCTGTTGACACCGTCAGTGTGCCTGGCACGTGGCCGCGCGTGGGGGCGCGTAGGTCCGTGCCTGTGCTGGCGCGTGGGGGCGCGTGCGGGGTCCAAAATTTTTTCTAAAAATATGGTTGTGATCCTGAGGTTGTGTAGAGCACGTGGGTATATTCATTTGTCCATTTTGAGCAATGTATGAGAAGTTATTACGAGAAACGGGTTATGTGCTTTAAAGTTAACGTTTTTATAGTTGTTTCGCATCTAGGTGACACGTACCCAGAGGACGAGCGTGCACACGCGAGACAGGGGGGCTACGACCCTTCTACATACCAGTGAGTGGGCTTTTGTTTTCCGTATATACCTATATACATTTATATTCCCAGAAATTGAATTAAAAAGGGTTATTTGCCTATTGCCATGCACTTTATTATTTATCGTTTATGCATCTTTGCATGCATTACTTGTGGCATACATATACATATGCATATGTCATATATATTTATGTGTGGGTGCTGTGGAGGCATAGGTAAGTGCCAGGTAAGCGTTAATTAACGATTGCACTACATAGTGTTTAGAGATGCTTAGAGAGCTCATAACCTGCACCCCCGGTGTTAGTGCTCCCGCCCAGAGTAGGGCACAGTCCTTCACGTGTTGTTCACCTCCCGCACCATACGCTCAGCTTGGATCCAAGCTAGGTGCATAGGCCTGTCGTACAGACCACTTTAGGTGGTTCCGACTCGTAGGTGACCCGCGATTATTCGCACAGCCTTCACGTGATCGTAGCACTAGAGCGTATATGTGTATTACACCCAGGCCTGTCGTACAGACCACATAGAGTGGTTCCGACTCGTGGGCAGGTTCAGTTGTTGAGTTTGAGATTGAACTCTATATGCAGCCGTACAGGTCACGTTAGGTGACTCCGGCTGCCAGATGTTATGTTATTGATATGATTCATACCTGAGCACATACATTTCATTACGAGGTTTTGACATGGCATATCTTGAGCATGATTGGCATACCCTTGAGCATGTTGGGCATATCTATACATACGTACATATGGTTATTTTCTGGGAAGTATACAGGTTTTACGGTGAGGGGTTAGAATGTATTTTATGAAATGGTTTTCAAAGAGCTTTGTTTTTGCCCACTCACGCTTTTGTTTTGCGCCCCTCCAGGTTCTAGTTGCTTAGCCGTTGCGGTGGTTTCCCTTGAGAGCTTTCCGGCGTTCTGACAGACATGCCACATTGTAGGGTCGCCTTCGGGCGTACTACTGTTGTCGTTTTATTTGGACTGCTATAGACCTGCTCTGAATGTGTATCGCACTAACTAGCACCTATTCTAGTACTTGTATGCTAGTTTTTAATTATTCGTACTTTTATATTACTACTTATTAGCTTCCGCACGTGCACATGGCTACGTCACCTTTGTGTGACGGCCAGCACGCTCCGATCTCGGTCGGGGTATGTCACTTTTCGACTCTCTTTTCAAGCTAAAGTTTTGTAGGATGACTATAATCGTCTATTTTTAAAGTTACTATTTAAGAATCAAATGTGTTAGAAATTAACTAAATATGAAATCGTTTATTCATCTAAAGTTATTCAATAAATAGATGAATCATGTTATTTAGTTAAAAACTAAAATTTGGACGCCGTCAATTAATAAACAATTGTTAATTTAATTGAGTTTTTTAAATAAACGATATTATCTACACTAAGAGAATAGAGAAGTAGGTTAAGCCGTACAATAGGTTAACAATAATATAATTCAAATTGGCCTTTAACAAGAATCGAATCTAAAACTTTTTATTATAAGTGAAGATGAATACCGCTTGACTGTATTATTAAGTGACAATTTAATTGATTTTTTGCGTATGTAAAATGTTCAATTATTATGAAACATTGTAAGATAAGGAATGAGAGCCGGAAAAATAAAACAACATTAAAAAAAAAAATTGAAAAAACGAAAGAAAAGGGCGGGACTCGCGACGTGTATTTTATAATCGTCACAGGACAAGATACGGAAAGTAGAAGGAAATAGAACGGTGGAAACGAAACCATTCTGAACCGTAGATATCGTCCAGAAGAAATCCTAACCGTCGTATTTGAACCATGTTCGAATAGGAAAGCTCCAGTTCCCATATCGTCCACTGTATAAAAGCCCAAGGTCTACAGTCTGAACCAAACCAACAAAACCCACACTCACGGCACTCTCTCGTTTGGCGCCACAGCTAGAACAGCCACAGGTATCTCTCTCTCTCTCTCTCTCTCTAGCTTTCTTGCAACTAAATTATGGCGCTAAATTGTTAGTTATAATTAAATTCAATTGGGTATGTGGTTCTTGAATTTCTTAGTCATAATTTACCCGTTGAGAATCATGAATTTAGTGTCAGAAAATTGATGCCAATGTATGCAGTTATTAATTCAATTAATTCTTCATTTATTTTTATTATTTATTTGCTATTTTTGATTAGCTTAAACTCTTAGAGCAATTATTTTAAAATTAAATTGCAAGATTAATTCTATGAAAGTTACCCGCGATAAATAAAGAATGGGCATTTGAACTCAGAAATCTGTGTTTTTTTTAATACAATCGATATTGGGAAATGGGGATTCGAACTCGGACGTCGGGTGCAGGTGGAAATACTCTTAGTCAGCTGAGTTACAAGCCCCTTGCTTAGAACTCTGTGTTCAATTGAGAACCCATTTTTCTCCCCCTTGTTTTTGTTTAATGGAGCTCTAACTCTGATGAACAAGTGGAGATGTATGCTTTTGCTAATTTAGGTTTGTTTTCTTGTTTCAGTCTTTTAGTTATTGGAGTTCATAACCAGCAGGATTGCAAATTTGCAATACCTTCCAAACAAATGGGGACTAGGGAAAGCAGTGCAGCTTCAACTCAGGTGCTCTCTTTCTCCCTATCTCTCTCCCCCCTCTCTCTCCAGATCATTATGCACCTTCAACTTACTTGCATATTGATGGATGAATACATTTGATTTTGTAACCAATTAAACTAAATGACCAGGTTGTGGCATTCGAAATGCAAAAAGAAGAACTGATTCTCGATGAGTACACAGAGTCATTGATAATATACAAGGGAGGCTCAGTACGTACGGATTTCGTAGGTAAAAGAGTTGCTGAAGGCGAAAAGACAACTTGTATTTCTGGAAATAATTGTGATGGTGCTTCTCAAAGGTATTGTTAATTTGTCTCTATGATCAACGCCTTCAGTAACATGTTTTTATTTGGCAAGTCTATTCATGTTTTGCATTGTTTCCTTTCGTCAGTGCTACAAGCAGGGGTGAGGACTCATCAGACAAGAACCGAGTATGCCATTCTACTTAAGTTTATGCTCAATAAATTGATGGTTGTATGAGATGTGAAGTGCATTAATAAATGGATACATTCGTATTTTCCCAGTTGATTTCATGAATCCTTCAGTTCTTTTTTGTGTGTTCCCTTTACTAGCTATGATCTTGTTTCAAGCATACTATGTTGCTCAGCGTACTCGCCAATGCTTTTCTTTTTCTTGTACAACATCAAATGTGCAAATGAAGTGAGGATGCTCTTATCATCTTCATTTGCACAGTTGAACCTATCATCCTTGGTATTAGTTATCATTTTCGGAAACTTTCAATGTTTCGGTTCCTTTCTGTTCTCCTCGCTATTCACTTATGGTGTCTGGTATATGCCAATGCAACTATTGTTCTCTCCCTTGCAGTACTCCCCTCTATTCATTTCTATTGTTTTGACAGGAAGATTATGAACAGAGAATGGAAAGAAGAAGACTGGCTAACAGGGAAGCTGCGAGGAGGTCAAGAATACGCAGACAGGTAATATATAGAGATTTCATAATTTCATTCGTTAATTAGCTTTTTTCCCTTGCAGTAGAGGGTGCGATATTTTGTGAACAGAGTTTTTTTCTTACCTTTTTCGACGTCAGTAGGATACAGTATATAAGGTGTCAAACACTACTTGGATCTCTGTATTCAATAATTGTCACTCTAGGAAAACACTGTCTTGGTTTCTATGCAAGAACTTGCTTATGTGTCTCAAGGATTTGATGGGGATGATAAGAAGTACAACGACGTTTGAATTCTTAACCGTCGATGCAAGAACCTTCTTTTAGGTTTGAACTCTTAATCGTGGATGTAAGCAATGCATGGAGTGGAGACTCAAAATTTAAAGGAAATGAGATAAGTTTCAGATATCGGATAAGTTCAGTACATATTGTTATTCACGGTTCCCTAGGCCTGAACTTTTTTGCCTTTCACATTCCTGGTATCATGATTTAGAAACTAATGTAGAATTTAATCCGTAAAAATCAAACTTTCCTCCATCTAATTCTGTGTTAGCCTTAAAATTATGGTACCGTATAAGTAGATTAGTTTACCCGACCAGCAGGAGTTGGTACCTCAGCTGAAAGCTGTTTTAGAAAACATTCTAAGCTCTGTTACTCTGCGTTTCTCATGCGTTGATTGTAATGTATCTCTTCTTTCTTAGATGATGAACTTTTGACTCTTCGCATTTGATATAGGAGTTACTTTTTCACTCGATTATTGTTGTGTTTCATATGATATATTGGTTTTGTATTACTTTCCAGCAAGAATGTGAGAAACTACGAGCAACCGCAGAGATTCTTGAGAGCGAGATTGCCCAGATCCCACGCGATATATGGAGGCTTTCTGAGCAAATTGAGAAACTCAAGGAAGAAAACGACAGCATATTTGTTAGTCATCTAAACTCTAGTTTTTCTTTATCCTCTGTCCCTATTTTCCTTCAGTTTACCTTTTTCTTCTGGAAGAAAGAAAGAATTCACAACATCGATTTGCCAATGGAACAGGATGAGCTAGAGAAGAAGTATGGTGCAGATGCAGTTTCTGATCTGAGAGCTGTGAAGGACTCTTTGGAAGGTAAAGGCAAAGACACTGACCCAAAGACGCCGAGCAGAGACAGCTGAAGTCCTAATCCTCCATCACTCAGTTCGGGTCTGTAATCACTCTGCTGTTGTTTTATGTAGTTGAAAGCTCCAGAAAAATTCCTACTTGTGGATAAAGATGTAGCACCAGTGTTCTTTAAGTTCCCGCCTAAGCGCTGGGTGGCTTGGCACCACTGTGATTAGTCCTAGGCGTCTAAAAGAATAAGAAAGGACGCCTAGACCTGATTAGGCGAGCTAGGTAGTTTTGTAACTTTTTTTGCTTTATTTAACAAAATGTCTTAGATCGCAGCTTTCAGCTAGTCAGAACATAGATAAGTTTTATTTGACATTTTATTTTTCAATTAATTAACATTCATTATATGATTATTCCCCATGTTTTCAATATGTTTTAGTGCTTTATAATTTATATTTACTTTGCAATTTATGTATCCTAAACACAACTATGTATGTTTTAAGTATAAGTAAACGCTTATTAATACGTTATATAATAAACTTAACTAAATTAAAAAAAACCGTCTAGGCACTAGCCCCTGTTCACCGCCAGATTAGTGCTTGGCATTTTTAAGAATATTGAAAAATACTAAGCGTAAATATGATATCACAGGATTTCAATTCTTAAAACGATTTCAAACATACAAAAATTGGCCTTAAATCCTACAACTCTAAGGATATTGTTTTGAACACAAAGTATGACTTTCGGACATTTACGTTACAATTCCTTTGAACACAAAGTAAAAATGTCCTGAGTTTATGTATGATTAGGGGGAACAATCTCCATCACTCTGAACCATCAGGGAAAGGTTTCAGTGCATCCTGCTTCCCGTTGACATAAAATTCCACAACTGCTAACATTCTAGGATACTTATCGGGATGGTAATTAACGTGAACAATCACCGGCTTTAACTTACTCAGTTTAGCGTCTTTCCTCACGGTCTTGAAGAGGACCTTGCTGTTCATAAAGAGATAGAAATCCATAGTTCTCCTGGAAGCATGAAGTCCATCGTACCCGGGATGAGAGGGGAAAAAGAGTTCCTCATTGAACACTGCCTGGTCCCAAGCCTGCTCCTTAGAGAGTCGATTGGCCACACGATCCAATAGCTCAATTGAAGGAATTGTTGGTCGAATGTAGAAGAAACCAGAGTTATAAACCCACATACGCATTGTATGAGCATATCGAGCCCAACCCATTCCTGGCTCATCAAAGACGTCGTTGTAACCATAAGCAGTCATATTGTTGTGACCATCAGTCATGGACTCTACATCCGAATCGCGATATAGATGATTAAAAGGGTTTTGCAAGTACACAATATCGACATCTGACAGAAGAACACTATACCCGAGCTGCAAAAACTCCCTCAGAACACGAAATTTTAACCCAGAGACGGCATGGTTACCTCCGGTCCTCGCAACTGAATCAATGACTTTGTCTGGGTCTCTCATGTAAACTGGAACATCTTTCGATTTGCAGTATCTGGCAATTTCTTCATCCAAAGCAACAACCAGATAATTAGATATGCCCACTCTCTTAATATTAGTGAACCACAAATCCAACATTTCCTTCACATTTGAGTTTGCAAGAGCAACTATAAGCTCTCTGTTAACAGCAACCTTCTCCAAAATCTTTGCTAACCTCGGATTCACTGATTCATCAGGAAGAACACTGGGGTTGGTTCGTGAGCCTTCGACGGTACCAAAAGGCCCAGCTTTCTTCTGATCTCCCAACACAAGAACTTGTTTCTCTGCCTGATCTTTCCTTTGCTCAGCCAACCGAATATTTTCAGTCAATTCTCTAACCTGCTTCTTCAACTCGGCATTTTTCTCAGATGCTGCAACAAACTCTGACTTCAACAGGTTGATCCGTTCAGATGACTCGCACAGGGAAGAACCAACCTAGTGCACAAATAACTAAAAATATCAACATCAACATCAACATCTTTAAGAACCGCAAATTGCACCCGAAAATATTAAACCATCTGTTATGTGCTTAGCTATTTGATTTCGTAGTGCAAGAAGAGCTATATGAACCGCCAACGATTATGTTAAAGAGTACGCATAAACGATTTCGACCTCATGTCAAAGCTTCAAACAAATGCCCAAATGGGAAATGAAAGCCGGTTTGAAAACACGCATCATAGTTCACATCAAGCTTATTCCTCATTATGCCTAACACGTACAAATCTGATATCGATTTATTAAACGAAAAACAAAACTTTGAGCATGTCAAATTATCAGCTTTAGTATTTCCAAACACCGTCATTTGTCAAGTTCTGAGCACAGGCAAATCAATTACATTTCCTGGGTTTGAATCAAAAGTCAATGCATCCAAAGCTCAAGTCATCGGGCATCATTTCGCATCGAATTGCCTAAATCCCAATCGCTAATCACCCATTCATTTAAAATTATAAAAAATTTCAAGCACTAATCACCCAAACAGATAAGTATAAAAACCCAAGAAGGACGAGAAGGAACCTGGGCGATCGATTTAGCGAAGTTGCGATTGAGAATGGCGGCCGGATTGGAAATGGAAAGGAAGCCACTGGGGAAGCAGAGGGCGAAGACGCAGCCGAGAAGGACTCCAACTGCTATGGCGGCGCCGACCTTCGATTTTCTGAGAGACTGCGCTTTCTCTCTGCGACTCACCACCGCCATGCCTTTGTTTTCTCTTCTCAGCTATGCTTTGAGAGGGAGGAGAGAGACAAGCAGAGAGGGGAAGTTGCTGTTGTTTAACTTTAACTTCAGACGGTGGTTGACTTTGTCTAAAAAAAAAAAAAACAGTGGTTGACTGGAGCAATGGAAAAATGATACTTAGTTAATTAACTAAATTAATTTTGAGGCTTTTAATCAAAGTTAATTAACTAAATATTGGGTTGATTTTAAATTAGTATTTAACATTTTTTTTAACAAACAATATTATTTATGCTAAGGAATTGGAGGAGTGAGTTAAGCCTCATAATAACTACCAATAATATGATTCAAATTCGCTTTTGGTGACAATCAAACCTAAGACCTCTTAAAACCTAAATCATTAACTAACATGCAAAAATTAGACATATGTTAGACCTTCGGTGTTAAGCTAGGACTTTAGTAACATAAGTGAATACGTTAAACCATTAAATGATGAGATGGTCAAAAACTAAAGTTGGTTTTCACCAACGCCGTCTTTAGAGCTTTAATCTCCTAAATTGAATCTTTTTAATTAATGCTAAATTTGTTTAGCTAAAATGCGTCGATTTGGAGATTGAAACTTTATAGATAACTTGAGAGTTAAAACACGCTTTAATATTTGTCAGTTATCATCACTTAACGTTAATGAACCTAACAAATACCCATTTTTAAGACTTTAGGTAGTTATTTGGAATGTTTTAAAAGATTATGACCAATTTGGAATCATCCCTAAACGTTGGGCAGTTATCTGAACTAAACCCTAATATAAATTATCTAATTCAATAGATGTCTTTGAAATTAACAGTAGTTGTTTATGAGATTTAAACTCAAAATTATTATTCGCACATCGTCAATTGCTGACACACCCGAACCCGGAATGTCCATTAGGACTCCGAATTGAGCTGTGTTGGCCGACACCTAGAAGGTGTCGAAGCCATAAAGTATAGTGATGTGGAAAATGTGAATAAATTTAAACCTAAAAGTGCCTAAAGAAAAGAGTGCGCTGTGAGTGGGAATGAACCCATTTCACATGTGACGTCAGAGCATAAGTAAAGTACAATAGTATGGGTAAGGATCATACCCTCAGAGGTAGCCATCTATATTGAGATTCGCTAAGAATCCTCGTTGATACGAACTTTCAGTAGCTAAAACCTGGAGGGGCAAAAAATAAAGTTTTAATAAAAACTTTTTGAAAACGTTATAACTCCTCGCTGTAAAACCCGTATAGTTTCTAGAAAATAATACTACGTATATACGTAAAACAATGCACAAAGATAGTAAAAACCAAGTATGCCATGTCATAACGTTTCAACACTGAAATATGTAAGCCACGTGTGAAAATCAAGGTAAAATAATATGCCAGCTGGAGTCACCTAAGTGATCTGTACGGCTGAACCTATAGCTTATCAACCTATGCCTGCACACAAGTCGGAATTGCCTAATGTGGTCTGTACGACAGGCTGGGTGTAAATAAGTACGCTGCTATGATCACGTGAAGGCTATGCGATGAATCGCGTGTCACCTACGAGTCGGAACCACCTATTGTGGTTTATATGACAGGATGGCACCAGACTTCAATCCAAGGTGAGCGTGTGGTGCAGGAGGTGAATGATCACGTGAAGGCTGTGCCCTGGTATCCGGCGGGAGCATTAACATCGGGGTGCAGGATAATGAGCTCTAAGTGCATCTATGCATAACAATGTAATGTAACCAATCATTCACATACTAACTCACCTGAAGCTTACCTGAGTCTCCGTAGCATCATTTCATATAATGCATAACAATAGTAATGAAATACTAAAAATATAATTCATTCACGACATGGCATTCAAAGCATAGTTCATATAAAAATGTTTCTGGAAACCGTAAAGCATATATATATATATATATATACACACATAGTATAAAAAGGAAGAAGACCCACTTACCTGGAGTCCACGCTACAACTCCCTAGCACAAACATCGAGATGTCACGAACGATCGGCACCTAGAACAATTATCAAACCACATCTTAGAATCCTTATCAATAGAACACATAACTTACATAAAACACATCCCCAAGGGCGTTCTAGAATGATTTGAGACCCATTGACCAAATGTCAACTGTTGGTCAAAGATCGAATATAGGGTCTATAACCTTAACTCGATTTGGAAGATCCGCACCTCATATTTCCGATTCGTAACTTCCAAAATCCACATTATGCTTCTAAAATATCATACTAAAGTTTCATTACGATCCAACGGTTGGATCTTCGCCAATTGCCAAAACCAAGTGGCGGCCGACGTTTTATTTTACAAACTTACAAATTCAATTCGAAAAGACCCGTATGTTGGATTCCCAATCCATAAATTCCTATGGTCCTCAAATATTACGTACTATAATGTATTAAAGTTTGGTGATGATCCAACGGTCGGATCGTCAATTACTATTCTAATCAAGTGGCAGACCTTAATGGAACTAGGTTCAAACAACAGAAATTCGTCAATCGGACTTACAAATGGAATCAGGGTATTCAAATTTAGCCTAGGAAGGTCAGGGGATGTCTCGGCCCACTCACCGCTACAGGTGGCAGTTGGCCGGCCTGACTTGAAGGAAAAATCAACTATTTTCAAAAAGTACCAAATTTTACAGACAAGTAGATCTCAGCAAAGGGAACAATTTTCATACATGTGGCCAAGTCCAATTTGGCCAAG